TTTTTTTTTTTTTTTTTTTTTTTTACCGTTCTGCATTTCTCCTTTTTCTTTCAAGAAACTTATTTTGGGGAGGGGTTTGCTCTGGGCATTTGCTTTGCCCAGGAGTTGGAAAGTGACCTCGACTCGTGATGGTTCTCCTGTCACTTTGGTGGATAGCAGCCGCTCTGGTAGAGGTGAGGACTTCAGCTGATGGGCAAGTAAGTGGAAAATAATCACAAGCAGAAACTCAAACCCAGCCTTTTCCCGAAAAGTTCCTCCTCTCTTTTCCCTTCTCTGTTTCCCCTCCTCCTCGTCCTCTTCTTCCTCCCCATGCTCCTCTTCCTCCTCCTAGTCCTCCTCCTCCTCCTCCGTGTCCTCTTCCACCTTGTCCTCCTCCTCGTCCTCATCCTCCTCCTCGTCCTCCTCCTCCTCCCCCTCGGCCTCCCCCTCGTCCTCCTCCTTGTCCTCCTCCTCTTCCTCCTCTTCCTCCCCCTCCTCCCACTCTCCCCTGTTATCTCCTGCGTTCAGGAGCGATGTGTGGAGGGCTGCGCGCAGCGTGCGGGGTTTTTGGGGGTGGCGGGTGGGATGGCCCCGGAGGTCATGACTCCCACCCCGGGGGCCCAGGCGTGTCACACCTAAGGGCTTCACCCCTCTTCGACAGTCTTAACCATGCCTAGTGACAGTCTGCAGCCAGTTCGCATCCTCGCCGGGCCCTCTGGGTTCCCCTTTCCGGAGGGCGGTCTGGGCGCTTGAATGAAGTTCTGGACTCTGGGTCCCGGATCCCAGGGCCCTGGGGGCTGCGGCCAGAGTCGGGATCGTGGGGCTTTCTCTCCTCCTAACTGACTCACGGTTCTTTCGGGCAGCCGGGGGCGGGGGTTTCAGGAAGCCCTCAGGCGGGACTGGGAGCGACCCGGTAGACACGTGTCCCGGGAGGACCGCGGCCCGGCTAGGGTTTGACAGTTGGGGAGGGGGGCTGGGACGTTTCCTGCCCTGCGTTTTCCTGGGCAGTGGCTGGAGGCGCCGGCCGCCTCCTCCCCTCCCCCTCCGCACAACTCCTCCTCTTCTTGAAGCTAAGTTGAGTGCAGCTCTGTTTCTTTTCGGCCCTGCCCCCACCCTTTGGAGGCTCAAGGTGAAGCCCGATGCTCTCGGAAGAGTCCTTGGGAAGGCTCCCCCGGGCGAGCCGGTTGTAGTCAATCACATCCGCACTGGGCTGGTGGGACTTTGGGTACAGGATTTCTCTGTGAGCTTTTGCAGTTCCTCTGATCTGACTGGTTTGACCATAGGGTGAAAAGTAGAAAATTGTCTGATTGATTCTTGACCTCAAATCGAATGAATCAGCCGCCCCCCTCCCCGTCCTCCTTTTAGGATTCGTTTCGCCTGTTTGAAATTCAGAGACGTTCTTTTCCAATCCAGACCCAGTATGGGGTTTTTCAAAAGAGACTATTGACGGTTAGTATTTATTTTTTGGTGGCTTCATACATGCTAAGTCAAAATTAAAATAGGCAAACAACTCCCTTCCCCAAATTGTTACTGAATTGGCTCATGCTCCTGTCTGTCCCAAGAACCTTCTGCAAACCGAGGTGCAGGCTCTAGGATCCGATCCCAGTCTCCTGATTAGCCAGCTCCTGAGAAGCATGAATGGTAGGAATAAAACGGGCGCGGTGATAAGATGAAACCCAGTAACTGTTTCTTTTTCTTACTTTCCCCCCTCCTTTCCAGGCTGGTAATGAAGAAATGGTGCAAATAGGTAAGCCTTGTTCTCAGATGTCACTCTTATCTTAGCTGAAAGTAGGAAGAGAAGTAAGCGAAGCAAAAATATTGTTTCTGAAATGTTTCCCATTGGTGGTTAAAACACTCGTTTGTAGTCCAGAAACATTTCTATTCTTCTCTTCCTCTTTCTGGAGGAGAGCCCCACTTGCTTCATGCTAAGTGATAGTGATATAAAAATTTGCCTACAGTTGGACTTTTCAAGTATCAATTTATGACTGCCTTTGTACAAACCACTGATATGCACTTGTAACTGAAGATCATGGAGGTGAATAAAATCAAATTATCAATGTGTAACGTTAGGAGGAGTACATCTGATAGAACGGAAAGCAAGAATGCCACAAAGAAGGGAAAAATGAAGTACAGAGGATGAACATTTTTCTTTTAAAATTTTTCCTGCTTTGGGTAAATCCTCTGCTGGCTTCTTTTATTCCATATGCTTTAAAATACTTATCTACTAACATGAAAGATAGGCCTTTTGCAGATGTTAGGCCTTTTCAGATAACATCTAAAACTTCATTATTACCTAATGCTGTGGAGAGTCTTGTTCCCATTTTATGGGTGAGGAGACTGGGGTCCAGAGAGTATAGGTGACTTGTAACAGGTCACTCACTGTAAAGCCCATGGCCTTTTTCGAAGCTGTTTAGAATAATGTATTTGTTCTGAAAGCAGAGGCTGAAAGTTATCTGGCAGTTAGCCAGGCTACATTTGAAGTCTCTTTATATATGTTTTACTTGGATTACTTTAAAAGATAACTTTTCTTTTTGGCAGGGTATCAGTCTCTTAAATTCTGTATTTGTCAAGTGATATTGTAAAGCCATCTTTTAGAAGAAACGTTTAAAAATTTTTTTTATTATTGCTGCTGCAAACATAGTTACAGATCATAGCCATCTTTATTAAATGCCAGGTACAGTGTCAATTGCTTTATGTATGTTATCTTACCTGGTTCCCATAGCTACACTATGAAGTTGAGATACTACTGTGTCTATTTTGGAGAAGAAGGACGTGAAGCTTGAGAGGTTGCGTAGCTCCCCGTTATCATGCATAGTAGAGGTCCAAGCTTGCTAACTCATGTGGGAAACCCAAGATCCAGGCCCAGAGGTGCACATATGTAGCATGCAGTATATCAGCATATGTCAACGTGTTCCTTCCTGCTCTGTGTTTTTCATTGTTGAACCTATTCCCCAAGCTAAGACCTTTATGGCAAGAGCAGAATGGAGAGGAGGAAAGAGATTGAAATCTGCACTGCAAATATAGTATCTATGGAGAGATGTTTGCCATTTGTAGTTGAGAGCATTCAGCCATTGGTCCATATCTTTTTACAAGGATTATTTTGTAACCAACCCCTAAACAAGTAGGGAAAAGAAAGTGGTCTTATTTTTAATTACTTAAGCATTTGATTACTTAAACACCCCAGATTTAAAATTAAAAAGATGTAAGATTACTCATTCCACCAAATGAACATTCACAAAATAAAATATATTGCCTTGGTTAAATTGTCAGTAGAATGAGGATGCTCTCACGTAAGAGGCTCTGGACTGAACTTTGGTCCAATCCTTCTGCTAATACAAAGGACTTTGGTAGCCCTTTTTCGAAGGGAAGAAACTAGTACAGGTGTGCTTGTATGTGGCGGGAAGGAGACAAGTCAGCAGTATGGAAGAGAGGAGGGCAAGGCACTCTCAGGCTGTAGTGTTAGAGTTTTACTTGCCTCCATATTCCTCTATTTTCTATGATTTCTTTATTTTATTATCCCTTTTATTTGTCACTTTCAAGTTGAATGAAGAGTTTAAAAGATAAAAAATAGATTTTGGCTCACAAGTGCTATGATAGCAAGAGTGTAGCTGTCATTTGGTTTTGGGATATAGTCATTTGTGGAACTTGTAAGGATTTTAAAATAACATATTTAAGAAAACCTAGCCGGGCTCATGGCTCAGCCTGTAATCCCATGCCTTTGGGAGGCTGAGGTGAGTGGATTGCCTGAGCCCGCGGGTTCGAGACCCGCCTGGGCAACTTGACGAGACCTCATTTCTACAATAAATCAAAAAATCAGCCAGGCATGGTAGTGCGCGCCTGTAGTTCCAGCTACTCAGAAGGTTGAGGCGGAAGGATCGCTGGAGTCCAGCAGGCGAGGCTGCGGTGGCCGGGAGCGACCACTGTACTCCAGTCTGAACGACAGTGAGACTCCAACTCAAAAAAAAAAGAAAGAAAACCTTATGTCTAGTAATGAGTTTCACTCCTCTGTCCCCATGTGTAAAGGCACTAGTAACCTGGAGGCTTGGTAATTTCTTCCCCAATAACTGATTTAAAAGAGGTTTTATATAACTGCCCGAAGGTATGATTTGCTCACTGATATATTAGGAAAGACTGGTAAGGTTTGTAGATTTTATTTATTTAATTTATATTGCTCTACAAATTGGCTAGAGAAAATTTTGTGGCTCCAAATAATTTTCAAATAATTTAATGTCTTAGGAAGAGATACACATACATTAGTGATAATTTTAAAAATGACTAGAATGTAAAAAACACTTTCTGTAGAAATATAGCAGGCATGTGGGATAGTGTGTATGTTGTACACCTTGCTGATTCTTCACCCAGTGAATGCTCCTGTGTAACCAGCACCTGGGTCAATGAGTAGAACTTTACTAGTAACCTGTACCTCTCTCCTGCCACCTGCCTAGCACTGTCTCCTTATGAAAGACAATCACTCTCCTAACTTCTAACAGGATACGTTAATTTTGTCAGGTTTTTAGTGCTCTTTGTAAATAGGATCACGGAATATTAGTGTTTAGTTTAGGGAGTCAATTTTAAAAAATATATATGCTTTGACCCTGTAGACTAGGGAGGCTTTTATTTAGGTAGGGAGAGGACAGTTTGTGATGGGGACTACTTAGAGTATGTATAGATATATCACCTATGTTGAGTCTCTTATGGGAAATTGCTTCTTTCCTTCTCTCTTCAGCCAGTGGAAAAATGCCTTCTTGGTATGTGGAAAAGTATGATTCACTCTAGAGAAGTGGGAAAATAGGTTTTGAACTTTGACCTAGTTCTGTGCCTCTTTGTCAACCACAGAGGAACTACCTGCCTACCTCCATACGTAGATACCTATCTGTGCATGTTTGAATGTATTTGTGTATATATGTGCAAGTATGTTTTATAAGACCAGTGACATATTTCTGTGGAGTATCAGGGAGCTCTTTATTTCTGATTCAGAATATGGCCTTAGTAGAATGCCTAGGGTGATTGTGGGCAACTGGCTGACTGGCGCAACTGGGTAAGGAGGCTTAGGAAATAATCATAGGTCTGTAGAAATTGAAAAATATGAAAAAGAATTCTCTGAGTTGTTTTATAAGCCACCACATTAGGATTTCCTGAGTATCGTTTAAGCAAAAATTATTATGAGGCTTTATGTTAAGCTATCTTCCCTCTCTGGCTCTCTCTTGGTATTGGGGCATATTTATCTTTCTGTTCCCTATTTCTGTTCCCCAGTTGCAAATTTCATTATATTTCATTTTTAAAGAAAAATTCCTAATCTTGTCCTTTCAAATATCTAGTTTACTGAGAGATAATTTTTCATCATTTTCAGGTATTTATTTGGTTTTCAGGGTTTAGTGTGGGTCACTTACCTAGTGGTTGGTGAGTAAGCATTGTCACTGGCATAACCCTCAAAAGGGCAAAGACTTTGTCTTGATTGCAGCTGTATCTCCAGTATATAAAACAGTGCTTGATACCACATGGGTCCTCAGATATTTGTTATTCAACGAACAGATCTAGCAAGTAGGGTATTATCATTAAGATTTACCTATATTCTGAATTGCCAGGTTTAATTGGTGCCTAAGAAAATGATGACGGTGACAATGGCTATACAATTAGTCATTCAGTGTTATTAAGGCCTCTTATGACACCTCTCTTCATCCCACAAAGCACAGGGATCTAGGCCTAGATTTTTGTATACTTTTCTTTGTGTGCTCAGCGAACGTTTGGCAAATTGAATTGAATTCTGTGTGCAGGTTTGGAATGCCATCTAATTTTTTTAGTACAGTCTACTTGGGATCATTTGACCTGTTGCTCATGAGAAATAAGATAAGCTAAGATTAAAATCTATCAATCCAGTTTGCCAGCAGCGGTACTAGAAAAGTGTGGTGGAGGAGTTTTAAAGGGATCCTTTGTAGAATTTAGAATTGTAGCTACCCAAGTCATTATTCTTTTTTGTAACTGAAGATCATGGAGTTGGTCCTACTGACTTAGCTTTCACCCCCTCCACTGGCAATGAATGTGGTGAATGTTGAATACTCCAAGCTTCTTAGATAAAGATTTTATTAAGTGCAGCATGTTTTCTATCACTAGGAATTCTTTGTTGCTGTTTAGCCGAAACCTTTTTTTTCCTGTACTTTTGCTGCTTTGCCTTGTCATTACAGCAAATAATCATAATATTTCTCAGAAATGTTAGAAACCCTCAAGGTCACCTTTGCTTCCAGGATGATGATCTCTAAGCATTCTTTGCATGTGAGTAGCCAACCCAGATTATCTTGGAAATCCATTAGGAACATTTCCAAATTGCCTGGTAAAATCATGTGTGGTTTCAATATGAAGAGTTTGGTTATACTACTTGGAATGGATATATTGACAGTGAAGACTTAGATAATACTCTAATGCTTCCTCAGAGAGGATTGCTATTACAATAATTTGAGAACTCTTTCTTTAGTATTTCTGTAAAGGGACTAGCTTTTATTCTTAAACTATGCTACTTTTATTATTATGCGTTTTTGGATTTTTCTTTTTAATTAATCAGTTTTCTTTGATTATTGATGTTTTACTTGTTCCAATGTTTTGCATATTTTTTTTAATCCAGGATTCTTTTTTCTTTTTCTTTTTTTTTTCGAGTTGGAGTCTCACTTTGTCACCCATACTGGAGTGCAGTGGTACGCTCACTGCAGCCTCAACCTGCTGGGCTCAGGTGATCCTTCCACCTCAGCTTTCCAA